ATGTGTGTGTGTGTGTGTGTGTGTGTATATATATATATATATATATATATATATATGTATGTGTATGTGTGTATGTTTTTTTCACAAAGAAGGAAAACCGAGGAGGAATAACTTGGCGCAATCGTTATAACAGGAATCACTTGTATTATACATAATTTTTCTTACTATGTGTCTATTTGTTATGTCTGGGCATAATGTTCGATGTGTGATACTTAACAGAGTCAAGCCATTGCTGATATGTCTCTGACTTGGCCTTGGAGTATGAGCTGACCTCGCATTTACATTTTCAACAAACATTAATTAAAGGATCACTAAAGTGTCAGGAAAACAAACTCGTTTTCCTGACACTATATAACCCTTAGGTCCCCCCCCCACCCTCAGGGCCCCCCTCCCGTTGGGAATGCAGCGCCGGACTCACTCGGCGCTGGTGACTTCTCCTCAATGCTTTCCTATGGACGTTCTGCACACTGAATGCGATTTTCGCATTCAGCGTTGCAGAAGCGCCTCTAGCGGCTGTCAGAAACACATCGTTGCTTAGTATGAGTATTTAGTATTTGGTTTATGGCATGTTTGGTCAGACACCTGTGTTTCGTCCAGTGTAGGTTGGCTTTGGGTGGGTTCCAGAGTGGGTACCGTCCGCACTGTGACCTTACTACCTTTTCAAGGAGCTGTCAGCCCACCTTCTGGTCAAGTGTCCCCCGGATCCCATCCCTCTGCGTGCCCAAGTGGACATAGCATCTTCATGGGTAATTGCCTGTAGTGGTACTTACCTTACCCGGGGGCCGGCCGAGGTCCTCCCTTCCCGCCGCGCGCAGCTCCCAAATGAAGGCGGGCATGGACCGCGAGATGCGGTCACGTGTTCCGCCTAGCTCTAAGAGCGTGCCGCGCGTCTCGGGCACACTCTTAAAGGGGAAGTGGTAGCCAAAAAATGAAATGTGCTCCCATTGGCCCCTGTCATCCCACATTCCCCAGACACTCACATTTTGGGGGTGTGGATATGACAGGGGCCAATCAAAGTAAAGTTTAGGGTATTTATACTTACCTCTCCCTTACCTCCCTGCCCTATCGTGGTTTCTGTTTCAGTTCCCTTTAGCGCTTGTTGTGTTCAGTTGTGATTTTCGTGCTTGACCTTGGCTTTGTATCTGACTCCGTTTATCTCTCTATCCCTGTTTTGTCTTGTTTGCCGGCTTACTGACTACTGTGTACTAGACCTTGGCTAGTTTTTGTTCTCGCTGTCTCTTTGTTCCCTTGACCTCGGCTTGTTCTTGACTCTGTCTATTCTCTGCTATACGGCGAGTCCGGCCATTCTAAGGTCCGGTAAGTCGTATCTGCTCTGTCGACTGTTGAACTAAATCCTGCGTGTAGGGGTAAACTACTGTGACATTACGATAGGGCCATGGACCCCGCAGATTTAAGTCAGCAATTGGCTTCTCATGAGGCTAGATTTACAGAGCAGGATCACCGTATGGATGAGATAGCTCAGGCCCTCCAGACACTCTTATCTAGAACCACTCCGGTAACAGTACCAACTCCTCCTGCACCCCTTGTCCCAGATGTATCCACCATGCCTAATGCTTCTGCACATTTAACCCTCCACCCAGGTATAGAGGGGATGCTAAGTCTTGCAGAGGATTCATTAATCAAGTGGAATTCCACTTTGAGATGTATCCACGTTCCTTTCCCACTGACAGGTCTAAAGTGGGATTCTTTATGCATCAACTTACTGATAAAGCACTTGAGTGGGCAAATCCTATATGGGAGGCTACTGGACCTATGGTGCATAATTTCGATAGCTTCCTTACGGCTTTTCGTAGAACCTTTGACACAACTAAAAGGTCAAAGAATGCCGCCAGGGCATTAATGAGAATTAAACAGGGTTCTAGGTCTGTTGCTGATTATGCTATTCAGTTTCATACCCTTGCTTCGCAGGTAAATTGGACCAACAATGGGCTAACTACAGCATTCATGGAAGGACTATCTGATACCATATTGGATGAGGTAGCAGCTAGGGAACTTCCTATCCCATTAGAAGAACTTATTGACTATCTCATTGATATAGACAATAGGATTCGTGACAGACTCTATACTAAGAATAGGAATAGACGTTTTGTTACACTAAATACTCCTAGAGTTGCTAATCCTGAGAGTTTCATGGTATCAGAGGAGGAACCCATGCAATTAGGGGTTGCCAAACTCTCTGATGCTGAAAAATTTTATAGGAGAAAGGAGGGACTTTGCCTATACTGTGGCCCCTTTCATCCCACATTCCCCAGACACTCACATTTTGGGGGCGTGGATATGACAGGGGTCAATCAAAGTAAAGTTTAGGGTATTTATACTTACCTCTCCCTTAACTCCCTGCCCTATCGTGGTTTCTGTTTCAGTTCCCTTTAGTGCTTGTTGTGTTCAGTTGTGATTTTCGTGCTTGACCTTGGCTTTGTATCTGACTCCGTTTATCTCTCTATCCCTGTTTTGTCTTGTTTGCCGGCTTACTGACTACTGTGTACCAGACCTTGGCTAGTTTTTGTTCTCGCTGTCTCTTTGTTCCCCTGACCTCGGCTTGTTCTTGACTCTGTCTATTTTCTGCTATACGGCGACTCCGGCCATTCTAAGGTCCGGTAAGTCGTATCTGCTCTGTCGATTGTTGAACTAAATCCTGCGTGTAGGGGTAAACTACCGTGACATTGCCTAGGCTAGTCCTGGTGTCAAGTTTCCATCTGTAATGGTAATGGGTCTTTCTCTGGGGCCCGCCCTACTTGGGTCCGTGCGGAGGCCTCAGACTACCCTATGTTCGGGGGCCCAGCAGAGGTTGCCAGTCTTTGGGCATTGACTTGTATACATTAAGCGGGGGGAGATGTACTATTTCCAAGAAGGTTGGGGGAAAAAAGGGGGGTGGGTATGAGCGAAGATTAGGGGAAAGAGTTGTACGGGAATGAGGGGTCAGAGGGGAAGGGATGGGGTGTTTGGTAGCCGGAGGGGATAGCATCAGGGGGGATGTGTGTTCCCTGCATCTATGGACATGGTTTGTCTCCCATGGGGGGTTAGGGGTTTGGTGTTCGGTTGGTCCTCTACCCATCATTGAGACATAGGTCCCCCATTGGAACCATGTCAAAGCACATTTATTAGAGCGGCCCTGGAGGTCAGCTGTCAGGGATTTCATTGAGTAGATTTCTTCCACCTTCGTTACCCAGTGCTGGAGGGTGGGCATGAGGGACTTTGCGGCATTTGCCTTACTGGCACAAAGTCAGTGTGGCATTAAAGTCTTGGAAAGAGTCCATTTTGTGTTTTAGGGTGTTGGTCAGCACTTCATGTGGCTCACGTTCTCCTTTTTTCTTTCTGCTTGATCCAGCCCTTAACAGGGGTGTATATAAAAAAAAACAAAAACAAAAAAACCCTCTGTCTCATTAGAGATATCTTTGCCAGAAGCTCAAGGAAGCAGGCTGAAGGGTCAGTGTTAGGACTCGCTTTAGGGGGGTCTGCCTTGACGTTGGCAGACGGGCATTCCCTCCAATGGCCAGTGGAGCAACTAAATGACCTCCATTTGTCTAAATATACAGAAGGATTAAGGAGAGAGCACAGGTAACTTTCTTTTCTTTGGTTTTTACTATATATTGGGGCTGATGTGTACTGTAGTAATTGCTGCCGGCCCAGTAGTGATGGCAGTGAGCGCAGGACTTCTCTTTTTGTATTTATATTTACTTTGTATCACGCAGCCTTGTTACAATGCTGCTGCCCATCCAATGTGTTCCCTATTAAGGGTTAATAAGTATATAGGGGTGTATATATAAAAAAAATAACCCTCTGTCTCATTAGAGATATCTTTGCCAGAAGCTCAAGGAAGCAGACTGAAGGGTCAGTGTTAGGACTCACTTTAGGGGGGTCTGCCTTGACGTTGGCAGGCGGGCATTCCCTCCAATGGCCATTGGAGCAACTAAATGACCTCCATTTGTCTAAATATACATAGGGATTAAGGAGAGAGCGCAGGTAACTTTTTTTTTTTTTTTTTTCCCTTTGATATGTACTCCAAATTTGAAGAAGTCCTGAAGACAAGGCTCAGTCTGCAGAAGAGTCACCGGTAGGCTTCTTTCCAGTTTTTCACAGATGTTTCTTTCACTTTTTTTTTGGTGTATGTGTGTACCTTTATTGATATTGCAATCCCTTTAAGTCAAAGTGCTATGGTTTATATTACTAAACCTGCCTCTTGGTGGGTATAAAATGTTTCTTACCATCTCTAATAGACTACATTGAATGTTAAAAGGCAATCTCAAAAATTCCAAGTAGAACAATGTATTCAACAGCAGTACCACTATGGTTATCCAATGTCCCGTCCATTAAAATATTATTAGATATAAGAAAAAAAGGTCAAAGAATGCCAGGGAATTGAGGAGGCAACGTTTAATGAAAGTTCTTTATCAAGCATTTAGGTCGAAACGTTGCTGACTGTTGGGTTTCATTAACCCCTTAAGGACCAAACTTCTAGAATAAAAGGGAATCGTGAAATGTCACACATGTCATCTGTCCTTAAGGGGTTAAACTTTGCCTCCTCAATTCCCTGGAGTGCCTGCACCTTTTTTCTTATATCTACTGGTAACTGGGACCTGGTGCTGGATCCTGGTTTGGTTGAACACAGAATTGTATTTTTTTGGGTTGAGTGCAGTTCTGGGTTTAGTTTTATTGAAATATTGTCTAGTTCCTAAATTATGAACGGTTATCAAAATGTCTCAAAAATTTTCAAGTATGATTATAAAATACTGTCAAACCATCATCCAGATCTTTCCATATGTGCTTGTTACACACCATTTAATCTACAAAGTGCATCAGGGCTGTCTGTGGAAAGTCAGACAGGAGAACGAAGTGTGGATCTATTGGTTTTTCTGCTAGATCACGGTGTTCGTATTACCTAGTTACTTTTTTCCAGTTTGTCACGTGAAAAAACTTACCATGAGACAAATAAGTTTGTAAAACTATTCAGATGCATACATTTTGACCTGCATCTTTGTCTTATTCTTCCCACAGGTGGTGTTGACACTGCTGCCGTTGGTAGAGTTTTTGACATTTCCAGTGGTGACAGACTGGGATTGTCTGAGGTGGAACAGGTCCAGATGGTTGTGGATGCTGTGAAATGTATGATTGAGATGGAAAATAAGCTTCAGAAGGGACAGGCCATCGATGACCTTGTGGCCGCACAGAAGTAGAGGGAAATAGAGACTTACAAACCATTAAATTGTTGGAGGTTAAAAATAAGGCTGTCATCACAAAGATTACATTGAAATGGGTAAAGAGACCACCAGTGGGGAGTTGAAACAACTAGACTTACAGGAAGAATCCACCAGCTCAGAAGGATGAAGAATACACCTATGAATATTTGCCTTGTAGGACTGAAAAATCTATAGAGAAATTGGGTTATTTCTATGCCTACCCCTTTCCTCATTATCTAATGTATTTTGTGACCCTCTTATGAACGCCTGAAGACAATAAAACCATAATGTCACCTCTGAGGAAGTATTGTGTCCGTCCATTGTACCAAATCTTTCTCTTCTACAACACACTCCTTGTCATTTAAATATAACTTATATTTTTAATTCTAAAAGAATGTTTTGAACCTGCCATGTCACACACAATATTTAAAGTCAAGTACTGGAACTAGTCCAGAAGGACCACAAATGTTGAAGATGTAGGGTTCTATCCACTTCGGTCTCAGTGGAGGTAATGATAAAATTTGAATCTTTAGTGATCCCTGAGGATTTGAGAAAATTGGTACCCTGACTCTAGGGGTGTCTAGTCTTTACCCTTTAGCTGTCCAACTACATGTATCAGAATTATGATTATTGTGCAACTGCTGAAGGACCAAGAGTAAAAATGACATGATGAAAACAAAATATTTGAAGTAGGATACCCAAATCCATAAAAATGAGCTCCCTCCAGAGTTCCACTATTGTAGGATGGGTGAATATGGATCCCTTTATAGGAATTATTCCAAACTGCAATGATCACCTTTTTGCACTGGAAATAATATCAAAGAAAACCCTTTCCTGTACAATGTGGCTTCTCATTGTTTCAAATCCAAAATGAGTACAAAAGGATTGAATAGGTGGATTAAAAAGAATTGTGTTTGGTATTCTCTAAGGTGCTTTGTCAACCGTCCAAAAGACTTGCCATTTTAAAATTGCAACAAAAATTTAGTCAATGCAATGTGAATGTCAAATTTAAATGTCCGAATTGGGCAAAAAATGAAAATCGGCTAGGCTTCCAGTTTGGCTATTTTGGCCTTAAAGGGACACTCCCCTGCCCAAATACGAAAAAAAAAAAAATCCCTGCTTACAGTTGCAAGAATTTTCTGCACAAATTGGTCATAAAATGTGATCTGATCATCATCTAAGTCACAACAATAGACAATCACAGTTTGCTTAAACTAATAACACAAAGAATGAAATGTTGCCATGTTTTTATTGAACACACCATGTAAACATTCACAGTGCAGGTGGAAAAAGTATGTGAACCCCTAGACTAATGACATCTCCAAGAGCTAATTGGAGTGAGATGTCAGCCAACTGGAGTCCAATCAATGAGATGAGATTGGAGGTGTTGGTTACAGCTGCCCTGCCCTATAAAAAAAACACACACCAGTTCTGGGTTTGCTTTTCACAAGAAGCATTGCCTGATGTGAATGATGCCTTGCACAAAAGAGCTCTCAGAAGACCTACGATTAAGAATTGTTGACTTGCATAAAGCTGGAAAGGGTTATAACAGTATCTTCAAAAGCCTTGCTGTTCATCCGTCCACGGTAAGACAAATTGTCTATAAATGGAGAAAGTTCAGCACTGCTGCTACTCTCCCTAGGAGTGGCCGTCCTGTAAAGATGACTGCAAGAGCACAGCGCAGACTGCTCAATGAGGTGAGGAAGAATCCTAGAGTGTCAGCTAAAGACTTACAAAAGTCACTGGCAAATGCTAACATCCCTGTTAGCGAATCTACATTATGTAAAACACTAAACAAAAATGGATTTCATGTGTGGATACCATAGAGGAAGCCACTGCTGTCCAAACAAAACATTGCTGCACGTTTACAGTTTGCACAAGAGCACCTGGATGTTCCATAGTAGTACTAGCAAAATATTCTGTGGACAGATGAAACCAAAGTTGAGTTGTTTGGAAGAAACACATAACACTGTGTGGCGAAAAAAAGGCACAGCACACCAACATCAAAACCTCATCCCAACTGTGAAGTATGGTGGTGGGGGCGTCATGGTTTGGGGCTGCTTTGCTGCGTCAGGACCTGGACGGATTGCTATCTTCGAAGGAAAAATGAATTCCCAAGTTTATCAATAAATTTTGCAGGAGAACGTAAGGCCATCTGTCTACCAGCTGAAGCTCCACAGAAGATGGTGTTGCAACAGGACAATGACCCAAAGCATAGAAGTAAATCAACAGAATGGCTTGAACAGAAGAAAATACGCCTTCTGAAGTGGCCCAGTCAGAGTCCTGACCTCAACCCGATTGAGATGCTGTGGCATGACCTCAAGAAAGCGATTCACACCAGACATCCCAAGAATATTGCTGAACTGAAACAGTTCTGTAAAGAGGAATTGTCAAGAATTACTCCTGACCATTGTGAACGTCTGATCTGCAACTACAGGAAATGTTTGGTTGAAGTTATTGCTCCCAAAGGAGGTTCAACCAGTTATTAAATCCAAGGGTTCACATACTTTTTCCACCTGCACTGTGAATGTTTACATGGTGTTCAATAAAAACATGGCAACCTTTAATTCTTTGTGTGTTATTAGTTTAAGCAGACTGTGATTGTCTATTGTTGTGACTTAGATGATCAGATCACATTTTATGACCAATTTGTGCAGAAATCCATATCATTCCAAAGGGTTCAGATACTTTTTCTTGCAACTGTATATTATATCTCCAATGAAAACATGAATGCGCGGGGCGTGTCTTGGCCACCATCTTAGATGGCCACGTTTTCAAGAGGCTCCTGGATCAAGGCGACATTTAATGTTCCAAAATCACTATTTACAGCTTTAAAGATGAAAAACTGACTTTTGCAACAGCTTTATTAACTAAATACCAACATGCAGAAAGAGAGAACGAAAAAATCAGGTCTGGGATGCAGAAACAGGATGTTGGAGCAGCTGGGGTGAGTAAGGACTTGCAGGCCCAATCACCCACTCCTAGAACCGGCCCGCAGCTCATTTCGCCACACACCCCCACAGAATCAGTGAGAGCTATAGAGAGCTTAGAAGAACACTGCATAGCAATAGAAGAATAATTAAATTTAATTCATTATTCTCAATTAACACAAAGACATCAGCTTGATGCCTCCACCAAGATGGCTGCCGAAACATTTTTAACTGAATCTGCCACATCCAAGATGACCACTTCAGATCACTCAGACATTACTACCACAAAGATGGCTACCGCCACATCCAAGATGGCTACTACAGGTTACAAAACAATGACTTATAACCCTAACATGCCATTTGAAATGGCAGACGATTTACCTCCTTCTGCTGGCATGATTATCTACCGAATTCAAAATTTATGACTGGACCTAAAGAATGACTTTAAAAAGGACTTTGACACTAAATATGGAGTCATGGAAGGCATTGGACATCAAATAGATGACATTGAATACAGATTGCAAGCTCAAGAACAATCTCATCAAGATTTAGTTGACACTGTAAGCATCTCCAAAAGCAGGTTAACCAGCAAGTGGAAGAGATGGCAGACTCTGAGGATAGAAGCAGACGTAACAACCTGAGGATTAGAGGGATTCCTGATACTGTTGAGATCTCTGAACTCCTGGACTATTTTCAAACTATGGTTAAGACAGTTCTGCCAAGAGCCACTAATATGGACTTACTTGTGGACCGCATTCATAGATTACCCCAAACCAGCAAAGCTTCTCTGCCTATATGATGAGATGTTGCAGGGAATTCCAGCCCTTCACAACTCAGTTTAGACAGAGGGGGATAAGATACAGGTGGGGGTTCCCCGTTAAAGTGTTGTTCCATATGGAAGGCCGAAACTACACAGTATTATCCCCAGAGGAAGGTTTGGAACTTCTTAATACCATTACCAGGCGCCATGTGCATCCACAAACACATGGCCCTCTTTTTCACTAAAGTTTTTCTTACCCCAGATAGGGTTTTTTCTCCAAGTTTTTTATTGTTTTTATTGCTTTTTTTTAGGTCCACCCTCCTTCTCACCAAATTACATTGCTTCAGTATGGTACAGATTAGAATTGTGATTTGTATATGGCATGATTTAAATGTTTTAGCATGTTTATCCTTATCTCAACAATTAAAATTTTTATTAAGATTGGATTTCTTAAAACTTCTCTTGGGGCGCGGAATTTCAGGTTCTCACATTGCTGTTCATTCTCTATCAATTAATCATGATCTCTAATTTGAGTCATCGTTCTTAAATTTCTATCATTCAATGTGAGGGGCCTGAATACCGTTCACTAGGCATGTGCATGGGAAAAATGTTCGGTTCGGCATTCGGAAATTCGTCACTTTGACACTTCGGAAATTCGGTAATTTCGGAACTTCTCTTGCAGCCGCTTGGTGGATAACTCCCTGATTCCCACGGTATTAGGGAGTTATCTACCAAAAGGCTGAAAGACCAAAATTGGTCTTCAGCCAAATTTACTAATACTAAGTAAAGATTACTTAGTATTCGTAAATAATGCCCCTACTCGCTATACTGCGAGTAGGGGCATCTCTATTAAACAGTGAGCAGCCAGAGCAGAGCAGCAATAGGGCCTCAACTTTTCTGGCGTCTAAACTCTGGCAAGTGAATGCCCAATCAAAAATAATGTATTTATTTGATAACCAGGGAAATAAAATATTCCATCCAACTAAAATCAGCGATCAATTTGCAAATTATTATTGTGAACTTTATAATCTGAAATTGGATTTGACTCTCACCCAGCTGTCAGAGGCAACAATTAATATTTTTTTAGATAAGGTGTCATTGCCTTGGATGTCTTCTGACAATTTAAAAAATTTAGAGAGTGATATCACTGATACTGAGATAACTGTGGCAATCAAACTTATGCTATCTGGAAAGGCCCCTAGCCCAGATGGATTCACTATTCTATATTATAAGGCCTTTCCAGAAATTTTAATTCCCCATATGACCAAATTGTTTAATTGCTATAAGTCTGGGGGGAAGATGTCGGGGGAGTCCTTGTGCGCACAAATTGTCACATTGCCAAAACCTGGAAAAGCTCCCAATAGATGTTCTAATTTTAGGCACATATCACTGATCAATAATGATTCGAAAATATACTCGAAGGTATTAGCCAATAGATTAGCTAAATTGTTACCTTTTGCTGATTAACAATGATCAAGTGGGGTTTGTTCAGGGCAGACAAGCTCCCGATGGCACCAGATGATTCATAAATATAATTCAATGCATTAGACAAAAACGCCTTCTCTGAGCCTTTCATTGGACGCAGAGAAGGCGTTTGACAGAGTACATTGGGGATATCTATGGAGCACATTAAAGAAGTTTAA